ACCGATGAAAAATTCAATTGGAGGATTAAAATCTATATTTTTAGCAAGTCTTCATAAAAATATTCACCTTCGCCCATGCGGTACCAGCCACCAGAACATTTCCTTTTTTCAGTGTACCTCTTTGCACGATCATTGTGCATACTTTACCAACACCTAGAATACTGCCAACTATTCAGGGAAACAAAGACATGCAACGGTTCCTCCTGGAAGCCTCCTTCACACACTCGTTTCAGTCACTCATGAAAATTTCCTCAATCAATTACATGAAACATTCAGAAATTTAACGCTCATGGAGTGGATCTGAACAGAATCATATTGAGACAATCTCTACACCAACGACGACATTACAAAATTCACCTTGAACAGTCGTTGATTCGATGACCACTCCCTCCACTGGTCCTTTACTTGTCGATCGCAAATTCATATCTTCTGCTTGCAACAAAATTGCATCCTCAAATTAATCAATCAGTTAATTGATCAATTACCTACAAAATCACTGCAAAGTCATCTTCCTGCCCATCTCCTCAAATGAGACTATCCAATTCTCGAACAANCTATCGTTTCGAACAAATTCTTCCAACCTCTTGCACAGATCCTCCAAACGTTCAACGGTCTCACTCACCTTCAATGCACCGATGTTGTCACCTCGAAGAGCTGATATTTGCACCGCTAGAACATCACCATGGAAATCCTCCACAACAATACCGTGTTCCAGCAGAGATCTTTTCGTCTTTTTCGGGTCCGCATTCGGTTTATCGCATTTATTGATGGCAACGATGATCGGTACGCCAGCCTGTCGTGCGTATTCTATCGACTGAACGGTTTGCTCCTTCACGCCGTCATCTGCGGCCACCACCAATACCACCAGATCGGTGGAATTAGCGCCTCGTTGTCGCATATCGGCAAATGCCGCATGACCGGGCGTGTCCAGAAATGTCATTTGCTGATCGTTTTCTTTGACTTAAATTCAACGCGAAACATCACTGAATTTCCAAGTAACGTTGATGCATTTTTGAACATGATTTTGCATACAAAATGAATCAATCGAGTACAAAAAGTTGTGAATAATACGCACCTGTAAAGGCTCCAATATGCTGTGTGATACCACCAAATTCAGACTCGACAATACGCGAATGCCTCAGACAATCTAGCAGTGTTGTTTTACCGTGATCCACATGACCCATTATTGTGATCACTGGAGCACGTCGCGTCAGATCCTCTTCACATGGTGGCGGTCTTGAAATGAAATGAAAGTGCTCGCTTTTTCAGGGAAGTTATCGCTTTGAGAGAAAAAAAACGGATAAGTCACACAATCAGAACGTTCAAAAATGTTCCCACTGACTCATTTTTATTTCAATAAATCATCTCGATTTTCCAAAAACGATATTTCTATATACAAAAGTTTCCATAAGAAACATACTTCCAAGCACAGAAATATTCCTTAAAACAACAATACTGCATGAATGTATCAAGTGATAAGGTGATTTTCCACAGACTTACAATGGAAACACATCGTCCGTTTGATGTTGCAGATCACTTCTTCGATCTAGCTTATCCTCGTTGGGACGTGCAACTAGTCGCGGTCTCAGGTTGAACGCATTCGCAACTTTTGCTGACAGTTCCGTTTGAAGTACTCAAATGAAAAATATCAGTAAATAAAATTAAAATCTCCATATCAAGTAAAACCTGACACTGAGAATTTATTTGCCAATCAATCAACGAGTATCAAAGAAGGACCACATCGAACCTTTATTTTCGCCTAATAAGTCCACATTTTTTGGATCGATCTGCAACAGTAGTTCAGCAATATCATCATTTGTCGTACCCGTAACACTGGCTAGTTCACTGAAATTACCGACTTAGTTGGCTACCTATTTCAAGCGCATTGCACCATTTAAAGACGAGTTTCAGCGACATCAAATACTCCTATTTGGATGCATCGTTCCGTTTTGAATGGAACTGCACTTATTTTGAATNACCTAATGGTCATATCACTATAAATATCAACGGGTTTCTTCGAACTTTTCGTGTGTTTCACTACAACCGCCTCAACAAATTTGCGCCTTCCTCGATTCTTTTTCGCATATTGAACCGACGATTGAGATAGACTCCGAGGATTCAGCGATGAGATGAGTGCCGAGCAGCACGGCTTCGATGATGAGAGCAAACATCGAACATTCCGTAATAAACACGACATATATCCGTACTATCTACCTCCAAATACCTGCAGTTCGTTACGTTATGCAAATGTTGCTATTGGAAACTAATACTTCCGAATCCACTGAAACATTATATGCACAGTGAATTCCTCAAAAATTCGAAGGCAATTGTTCAGGACGGCACTCCAGTTCTATTATCAAAATTCAAATTAAAAAAATTCAAATAAAATTATCAAAATTCAAATAATTCAAAACTATTGCAAAACGCACGTAAAAAACTCTTTGAATAAGCCATGAATAAAAATCTATTCTTTGAATAAATTTACAGTTATACTTATGGCAGCTTGCTTTTCAAAACAAACACGATTTTCTTCACAAAGAAACGGAAACACATCGATAAATTGGAATTCACGTGGAAATCCAAAACCACACAGCTGAATAAAGAGTGAAACAGCTGTAGTGCAAAATCGCTCTAACGTGAAATGTGTCTTCTTGCCACACCCTTAACATATGTTTGGCGGCAAGATCTTTGATGCAATACATAATGTACATCTTCAAAAAAAAAACACGTTATTTGCAGACTTTCTTCAGTGAATATTTCACNTGACAAATTCTATATCTCGTCCAAACCTCACGGCCTCATCGTTCATCGTTAACTCCGTTAAAAATCCGCGAATATTCTCCTTCCCAGAAGCAGAGTTCTGGAACTCGGAATCCGTTCACCTCGGAAACTTCAGATGATATTTATTAATTTATCATTCTAGGTAATGCGCTGCTCATCATCCGACTGATATTCCTAGCGAACCTCAGTGCAGTCAAACCTAGGAACGTGCAGTTATGTCGTCCTGTCCACTGCTACGACCAAATTTTCGTTATTTGGCATTTATTGTATTCACACTCTTCTTTATTAATATTATTCTACTCACACATATCGCTGACCTTCATCTCTATGTTCAGCAAATTTTCAAGGTATTCGTTGGCATAGTTTCAGAATTATTTATAATATGGAATTCATTCAGTGGTTTGGTATGGGAGCGGAAAATATCCCTTGAAGCCAGGAGAATCCCTGTCAAATTAAGCGAAAACGGAATTGAAATTTCGTTTCCGTAAATTATTTCCCGTATTGAAACAAGATATATTGTTTGTATAGGCGAAGAAATAGTGCTTGCAATGTTCGTGGGATTTCATGAAGGAATTTATTTCAATTTCATAGAATTAGAAGTTTAGAACGTTCAAACAACGGCGAGCTTATCGAATTCTGAAGATACGACACAATCGGTGGACGCATCAGATGAGTGCGTTATCAGCGATAAATTGGCGTTGAGTGCGTTGTCTCGAATGAACACGGAAACATGTCGTCGAGAGGCGAAGCAACTCATTTGTGCAATCAATAAGACCACTTCTCAGACTCTNNNNGTTTTCATTTGCGATTATTCCGCATTCCCCGTAGACTAACGATTATTTTGAATGGATCACATCCAGGGTCCCAACTAGCGAATACTCCCATCCCAATTGTAAGTTCGTTCCGAGTATTTACGTGTCCGCCAACAACACGTGAAATCGTTCATTCGAATAGTTTGTGGCCTCTTTTTCAGGATATCTTTTCAGGATATTTCGTGAATTTTAGCCATCATAATATAATCACGTAAGCAAGTAATTCTCCTCTATAACTCCAGCACTGGATTGCGTTTGAAGGTTTCATAATCAGTTTTGCCTCTAAAATTTGTCGAAGTCAATTTCAGATGATGTCCAACGAGGAAGTTATGTTGGATGTTATGTGGACAAGAAATCAGCGCGCGTCTTGACTGGTCATACTTATCGTTTCAAGCAGAACAACTCACCGCAATATTGTGTGAATCAGTGCCTACGAGCCGGTTATCTTTATGCAGGTGAAAAAACGATTTTGTGATAATTTCACACATATTCCAATGCTCGAGAGTAAATTCGATTCAGTGCGATAAATTCAATTTCGTACTTGCATTTT